ATAGATCATAGAAGCCATCTTGCTTCTGTCTATGCTCTTAGTAAGGAATCTCTGAAAACTAGAGTCATATTTTTCTAAAATGCTTTCACATGACTTAGTCTCAGATTCAGATTCTTGTTGAGGTGTTTCACAGTCATTTTTTATTTTCAGATTAATTTCTTTTTGCTCAACAAGTTCTGTCTTCAGAAGATCAATCTCAGATTCAAGATTGCTTTTCAGCTTCTTGTATTTGAGTTTGATATTGTTGTAACTTTTCAGAACTTCTGATAAAACCTTTATCAGTTCTTCTTTAGTAAGTTTAGCCATTACCTCTTCAGCGTCATCATCAGATTCAGAATCTGATTCATATCCCGAGGTTCCTTCCTCTTGATCTTCTGTGCTGGCCATCAGTGCAACATTAACACATTCTTCTTCTGATTCAGAAGATGATTCAAATTCATCTGAGTCATCCCATGTTGCCATCAGAACCTTCTTCTTTTTGTTAAACTTCTTCTTGGGTTTTTCTTTTTGAAGTTTGGGGCAATCATTCTTGTAATGCCCAGGTTCTTTGCACTCATAGCACACAACTTCTTTCTTGCCAGATCTTCTATGCCCAGAAGATTCCTTTCTATTATCAGATCTTCTGAAGTTGTTGAACTTCTTTCCCTTGTGCTTCCAGAGTTTGTTGATCCTTCTGGACAGCGTGGATAATTCATCTTCTTCTTCAGAAGAAGATTCTTCAGAGCTTTCTTCAATAACCTGCAAAGCTTTAGCAGATTTGTTAGATTTTAAGGCAACAGATTTACCTTTTTCTTTCTTTTGAGGTTTATCTTCCTCAAGCTCAATTTCATGGCTCCTCAGTGAGCTGATGAGTTCTTCTAAAGAGATCTTGTTCAGATGTTTAGCCATCTTCAAGGCAGTCACCATTGGTCTCCATCTGGTAGGTAGACTTCTGATGATTTTCTTTACATGATCTGATGTAGAGTATCCCTTGTCCAGAACCTTTAGCCCAGCTGTGAGGATCTGAAATCTGGAGAACACGGCTTCAACAGATTCAGAGTCTACCATCTTGAAGGCCTCATACTTCTGGATCAGAGCTAGAGCTTTTGTCTCCTTGACTTGAGAGTTTCCCTCATGAGTCATTTTTAATGATTCAAACATATCAAAAGCAGTTTCCCTGTTTGTAATTTTTTCATACTCAGTATGGGAAATTGCATTCAATAATATAGTTCTGGCTTTGTGATGATTTCTAAAATCTTTCTTCTGAGCATCTGTCATAGATTTTCTGTCTATCTTCTTGCCATTCCCATCTGTGGGATGGACATATCCATCTATGACTAGATCCCATAGATCAGCATCATATCCTAGGAAAAAACTCTCAATTCTGTCTTTCCAGTAATCAAATTTCTCCCCGTCAAACATAGGGGGTTTGGTGCTGATTCTGTCCCTTTCTTCATATTTATTGTTAATGTTGGATATTGTAATATCAGCCATTGTAACAAATAAATATATATCAAAGTATTTCTCTCTGGATCTTTACTGTCACTGTTAAGTGGTAGCACACACAGAACCGGAGCTCTGATGCCAACTGAAGGTGAGATAATACTTAGAAGGGGGGTTGAATAAGTATGAAAGATTAAATCTAGAAATAAAAAACACAATTATTTTTATCCTGGTTCGTTGAACTCAACTACTCCAGTCCACCCTTCCTAGAGTGATTTGCCTTTCTCAACAAGGACTTAATCCACTATTTAATCAAACAGATTACAATAGTAACACCTAAGAACAACTGTTCTTAGTCTTCTCAAGAGCTACTGATTCCAACTGAATCCTCTTAAGGAAAACCTTTACAATCAATGTAAATCAAATACAAGAGTATGAATGCTTCTAAAAAGCTTTTATCACAACAGTGATATTTCTCTTAAGTTTAAGTACAAATAATTCTAAGAAGAATATGAAAGAATGAGAGCTTTGAATGTTATGATTTCTTTTCAGCAAAAATGTCTAACTGAAGAATTTGGTGGAGTCTTCCTTTTATAGGCAACTGATCCAAGGAGAACTAAGCGTTGAGAAGAGTGTCCAAAAAGGTCCGAGCCTTTTTGTCTTTACATCAAGTGACCTTTCCTAGAAGTAGAAGGCACAGAAAAGTCCTTTATGTCTGTGTTCTTGTGTCTAGCACAAATGAGGAAAGAGACGTTTGATTTACTCCAATGGATATAATCTTTGAATAATTCTTCTTCAGTTTTCAGCAAGTTCATCATAATCTGATTGAGTCAGAGTCTTCTAATGATGTTCAGAACTTTGCTGTATCAGAGTCTTCTGCAGCATGTGTGCTTTCAGCGTGTTGATCATCAGAGCATATTTGACACAGAACTTCAGTACTGGAAGCTTTAGTACTTTCAGAAACTTCTGTAAAAACTATGCTTTGAGAAACTCTTCATACAATATTCTTCTTTGCTTGAGATGCATCTGCTTGCTTCAGATTCTTTTGGAGCTTCTGCTTCAGAGTCTTCTGGAGCTTCTTGCTTCAGATCCTTCTGGAGGTTACGCTCAGGAACTTCTGTAAGCAGCAGTCAGAATCTTCTAATGAGTGCATCTGGCGCTTCAGAGTCTAGATAACTTCTTGTATACAATTCAGATTTGCTTCTGGAGTGTTAATTTCATTACAATCTGCAGTAAAACTCTCAAGCAAATTTTAGAGTATATAATTCTTAAATACAAAATTTCCTAACAGTTATCATCAAAACAAAGAGATATTATTAAGAGTCAATCTGTGTTCTAACACACTGTGCCTATAAAAGCAAGTCTCCACTCATCTTCTTCAGTTGACGTATCACTTGAAAAGAATTCAATATCAAAGCTCTCATACAAACTCATATATTCTTTCTAGAATTAATTTCTTTGTTCTTAATCTTAAGTGAAAAATCACAGTTGTGATAAAGCTTTATTAGAAGCATTTTAACACTTGTATTTGTTATTACATTTGATTGTAAGAAAACCTTAAGAAGATCCAGTTAGGATCAGTAGTTCTTGAGAAGACTTTGAACAGTTGTTCTTAGTACTTACTATTGTAATCAGTTGATTAAATAGTGAATTAAGTCCTTGTTTGAGAAAGGCAAATCACTCTAGAAAGGGTGGACTGGAGTAGTTGAGTTCAACGAACCAGGATAAAAATACTTGAGTTTTTATTTCTAAGTTTTTATCTTCATACTTATTCAACCCTCCTTCTAAGTATTTTCTCACCTTCAGTGATATCTTATGTTTTGTGAAACCTAGTTAATTTAATAGCTATGGCCTCCGATTCTCACTGCGATATTTGTAAGCATTGACATTTGGAAAGCGAAACCTCAATTCGCCATCTTTTGAGAACCTTGAAGCTCTGGTACCACTTTGTTGGAAATAAGGTCTTTTGTGTTTAGGAAAAATGTGTGGGAATATTATACGCTTAAAAGAGAAACTTGATAGGTATGAGAATTCTTGGTGTAAGAGAACTTTGTATTTTTGCTTGATACAAAAGTGTATGATTACATCTCTAATTATAGTATTGTAGGGAGAACTCTAGACACACGAATTCTAGAGAGTTCTCAATTCTAAAAATTATAAGAGTATTCTAGAAAATATTACAACTCTAAAAAATATCTAGACACTTCAAACAGTACAAAAGTTTTCTAAAAACATAATTCAAGATTATATAAACCTAAAATAACTAAAACTAAAAAGTCAAATAATAAGATTAGACCCAAATAAAGTTTAATATTTCAACATCATATACATGAGGAAAAAAAACCTTGGATTTAAGTTGGAATATCCAAAGGAAACAAGGAGAAAACAAAGATGGAAAAAATATTGGTTTAATGCATGAGTGCAATGAGAAGTAATGAGGACAGGGCCGACTCAAGGGTAAGACGATCCAAGCAAATTTTTTAGGCTTTAAAATTTTGAGTTATAAAAAGACTTTAAATTTTTTTTGATTTGGTTATAAATATTTTAAATGACATATTTTTTACCTAAAATTTTATTATTAAATTGGTAGAAGAGAGACTCCATATGTTTTAGATTTTTAATTCTTGTCAAACACAAAATTTTGTTTATTTATTTTGAAGATTTCATTTTAAAAATTTCTTTAGAGTTCTAAGCGGATTAGACCGACCAGAATGAGAATATACACTGAGTCCAAGAAAATGCAGATTTATGGTTGTAGAATGCAAGATGGAAGAAGAATGATATTTGGATGCATGGTGGAAGATGATGCTTTTAGGATAAATATTAATTATATTAGTTTAAATTATAAATCATTTTTCTTATTTTTATTAAATGACGTGCCACATTTTATTTAATTGGCACCATATTGTCATTGACATTTCACGTGTCAGGAATGAAATGAAAATATCAACTATCCAAAATTAACGAGAGATAAAAAAATTTCAAAAATTGATATAGATAAACCTGGCTGAATTTTATAAAACGTGGAGACTAAAGTTTTAAAAATAAAATAAAATAAGTGACTCAAAGTGTATTTATATTTAAACATTTATTTAGTTCAAGAGTGGGTTCTAGTTTATCCGTTTAATATCATTATAAATTTACAACTGGATTTAATTTATCTCGTTGAGAATGAATGATTTGCAGATGTTGCTTAAGAATAAGAAAATTATCAAATTATGTTTATGAGTAATTATCATTTTGATTGTTAAATTGCAAGGAAATGAACAATAACAATTTAATAAGAATTATTTATAAAAAAACACCAAAATATTACTTATAAAATATGAAAATGGATCAAATAAACTTAATCAATCATACATTAAAAAATATGAAAAAGTATATATATCTATATATATAAAAAAAGAAAAGAGAGAGAGAGAGAGAGAGAAATATCTAAAACGTTTTCAAATCTAGAAAAACCCCAAAAGGTTCATACGTAGATACTTCCATTATTGAATGCTAACTAATAAGGGCATAGAAGAAAAGATTTAGTAAATTAATAAATAATTAATTCATAATGTTTGAAGTTGTTGAAATCAATCATCATCATCTTGAGTACCATCTTCTTTAATTCCAAGTTCCTTGAGGACTTGAGTACAACCAGGAAGACGTTCTTTCTTGAGGAAACCAAGAGGGCTAGTGGTACGAATAGGAGAGATAATTCCATTGTTGTTTGTGATGCTAACCTTAGCAGCTTGTTCCAAGTGAGATTCTGAGTCAACCTCTGCACAATCTGGTCTAGGGCTTTTCACTAGCATAACTTGACATTCCTCGTCTTCATGGTCTCCATCTACCTCTATTTTGTATGATCCAGTTGAGTCTGTTGTTGCTTCTTTGGTGAATGTCACTGTTCCGTTGTCTTCTTTGCACTCCACACGTACGACGGCACCTATTTCACACGTATATTAAGTAATAAATTCATATAATTTATGAATATTAAGTTTCAACGTATGCATGCATGTGAAATACATGAATTTGGATTCTAAACCTAATTATCTCTATAGTCGCATCAGCATTGTAAATGGTGATGCGGCTATGATCTCTACCCCCGCATCTGAATGATGCATGGTGACATGCATGGTTATCAATATCATGCATGGTGGTAAGGAAAATGATCTCTAAAGACGCATGTGTATGATGCATGGTGACATACATGCTGATTAGCATCATGCATGGCGATGCGGCTAATGATCTCTACAGTCACATCAATATGATATATTTATATTGATATGGCTGGAGATCGTTTAGATTTGAAAAAATGTACGTACCTTCCAAAAACTCAGTCAATTTGGTGATGAATTGGATGCGGCATGTGTCGCAATAAACAACACCCTCGACGGAGAACCGGTCCTTGTTGGAATAAGCTGAACCAATGAAAGATAAGAGGCAAAGGGTGGAGACAAGGAAGATTGTAGACTTTGCCATTGTTGTTATGGATTTTTTTTAAGTTAATTTGTTTCTAAATAAGATATACTGTTTATAATGAAGAGAAGATTGCATTTTATACTTAAAAATAATGGATTAAACTAATTTTGTTTATTTGTTCTGTTTGTAATCTGAGGCTCTAATTTCTCCCATTGTTTGAGGATGGTAGAAATTTATGTTTTGACCCGTTTTTTCCTCTCCATTATCAAGCTAATAAATCTATTTATGTATGTGCAAAAAAAAGTGAGATGTATAATTAGTCATAAGCACCAGCTTAATAGGAAACAAATTGAAGGGTCAATGTATTATTATTGAGCATGCATCTCATTCCAAAGAACAACATTGACCTTTCGTTGTATAACAACTTTATTGAGCCATAGTATGTGGCATAGAACAATTATAATTACATTTACAGTTCTTGGTCCACGTTTTTATAGTCTATTATGAATTATAAATGTAGAAATTGGCTAATGAGCGACTTAAATATGATTCAATGATCTATTAAGTTTTATTTACAAGGAACTTTATAATGTTACATTACTTACAAATATATTATATTTAGAGTAAACCCTTGATTCATTTTTGGTATATATCGCTCTCTCTTCATCTTAATCATTGGGGTATAAAAAAATAATTAGGGTATAATAAATAAAATATATGTATGAAATATATACCCTTTTTGGTGCTATTTTTTTTATTTTTTATATTTATCTATTGAAGTTTAAAATGAAGGGGAATATATCTTAAACTAACTTTGCGCACAAGTGTTTTTTCTATAAATGCGGAGATATCTGGAATCGGGAGTTAGTTATACAAAGGGAAGCTATTAACATCCAGAGTATTTATAGTAGTCTATAGGAACCTTGATTGCATATGTTTTTATTGTTTGACTTGCTTTCTTGAGTCTATTTGCTGTGAGGTGGGGAAAGTTTCTCCTTTGGGAGGTTGAGGAAATGTTTTTGTTATTTTAGGATTTTCTATTGTTTTTAGAAAGGTATCTGGACGTAAGGTTTTTTATTAGTGCGCTCGCTAAGATTTTGCAATCTTATGCATACGTATTCTCAAAAAAGGAAACTGAGAAATCAGAGTATTCGTAGTTCCTCCTATTCTATGGGAGGAAAAAAAGATTGGTGTCTTGTTCAAAGCTCAAGAGTGAAGCTAAAAGAAAAGTTTGTGTATTGTTCAAAGCCCAAGATTGAAGGTAAAAGAGTTTTTGTGTCTTGTTTAAAGTCTAAGATTGAAGCTAAAAATAGCATTTGTGTCTTGCTCAAAGCCCAAGATTGAAGTTAAAAGAGTTTTTGAGACAGAATTTGTAATCTCTAAAGAGAGATATCTCATCTATTCATCACAGTTATTGAGGTTTTGTTTATAAGGGAAATTGTTTTAACTGGGATGTGTGGAATTCAGCAATGCCACATCTTCCTTTATAAGGGAATTGAAATGTCATGAAGGAAGCTTTAACTCAGTGTAGAGCAATGTCATTTGTTCCTTTATGAATCTTTGTATGCAAAGAGATGGACATTGCTTGGATGTGTTCCAGAGGCTTGTCACTTACATCACTTAGATGAAAGAGAACTTTGGTCATGATAAAGGATGGACTCTATCTTGGATTTTGAATCAACAAGCGTGTCACTTACATCAATTATATGGAAAAGGGTTTACTTGTTTGTTTTGAAATATGATGTATAGAGGAAATATCCTCCTACAGAGAGGACTCAGAGTCTCATCTATGGGGATGTTGAATTTTGTGCCTTGATCAAAGCTCAAGGTTGAACCTATAAAAGGGATTCAAAACTGACTCAATTAGGAGAGTATTATATATGTCTGGTACAAATCCCAAGATTGAGGCTGATTGGGGACAATCCTTATATGAAGCCTAAGAGGAGGCTGAGGTAATTTAAGTGGAGATTGACTCTTACTGAGGAAAATTAAATCCAAGAGCAGGATCCAACTGCTATGAGGAATCAAAAGAGAAACTGACTCATGTTGTAAATTAAAGGAGAGTAGAATTTATTGAACTGTCATAAAGGCTTTGATTCTTTTCGGGAATTGTTGATTGTAATCTTACCCTTGCTGGGGATTTAAGGTGGAAGTCAAGCCTTATTGAGGATCAGAGGAGACTCAAATGATGGGTTTGAATGTTTTCACTACAAGAAAACATTAAATTAGCTAGGGGCATGGGTTAGGGGGAAACCCCCTCACTAAAATAAAACCATTTGCTTGGGGTTAAACTTCTCGCAAAATGCAAAATAGGAGAGAAAAAAAATATAAACATTTAGCTAGGGGATACCCCTCGCAATGAAGGAGGGAAAATTTTTTGAATTTTGAAATGTACTTTTAGTAGGGTTCATCGCAGTTTTTGGTGGAAAAGCTGAACAATTTGCGAGGGGGTAGCCCCTCACCACGTCACGTTCACAATTTGCAAGGGGCAGCCCCTCACCACTTGTCCTACTTTAGTCAAATCCTACTGAAAAAGCATTTATTCCTCTGCATTAGTCTGCAAAACGGTCTGCCACACGCAAAAGGTGGCTAGGGGATGCCCCTCGCAAATTGCTTACTGATATCCTGCGTGGAGGTGCCCCTCGCAAATGAAGTCACGTCATGTGACCGTTGAGTATTGCGTGGAGTTGCCCCTCGCAAAATAAATATTAAATGCCAAATTTATTTCACAGCCCACACATTTATGCGTTTATTCCTTCTTTCTTCTCCATTTCTCCCACCATCTTCTTCTTTCCCATTTTATTTTCAAAGTTTTTCTTCCCTATTCTTCTTCTTCCTCCTTCATGTTCCAACATTTTTATTCCATTTGATAAAAGTAAGTTATTTTATTTATGTATATTATTTTCGTATTTATAGTTTATTTTATTGTTTAGATTTATTAATTAATTTTTTTTATTTATTTGTTGTGTTGCATGTACTGTGGATAATATAAGCTATCCTATTTTTGTCAAGAGGAACTAGAAATTTGGAAGAAGATCAAAAGGTACACACTTTTGTTTGGTGGCGGTTGATAAAATAAATTTTAACATAACATATTTATGTATATTTTTATGAAATAAATTATGTATTGATGGCGGTTGAAAATTATGTATATTTTTATGAATATAACAAATATATATATATATATATATATATATATATATATATATATATATATATATATATATATATATATATATATATATATATATATATATATATATATATATATATATATATATATATATATATATATATATATATATATATATATATATATATATATTTATTTATTTATCAAGCAGATTTTAATTAAGATATTAGAACAGATAATATAAAAATATTCAGATTTATATTATAAACAGATTTAAAACATATATTATAAACCTATTTATAAACATATTATAAATAGAATATTATAAAACAGATTTATATTATATATTATTTATTTAAAACAGAATATTTATTATTTAAAACAGAATTTTTATTTAAAGCAGAATATTATATATTATTTATTATTTATTTATATAAAAGCAGAATGTTTATTTATTAAATATTAAATAGATTATATAATTAAACAGAATATATTATTTATATTATATAAAACAGAATATTTAAAACAGAATATTTATATTATATTATATTAAAACAGAATATTATTTATTTATATCATATTAAATATTTAACAGAATATAAAACTTATTTATATTATATATTATTTATTTAAAACAGAATATTTATTTATTTATAAACATATTTAAAACAGAATATTAAAACATATTATATATTATTTTTTAAAACAGAATATTTATTTATTTAAATTTGAAAACATATTATATATTTTTTTTATAAAAGAATAGATTATATATATTAATATACACTTTTATTTAAAAAGTATGAGTTAAATCATAAAAATATATAATTTATAATATATTTAAGTTACATATACAAACTTTTTATATAAAGTATATAATTTGTAATATATACATTTTCTAAAATATTAATATAATTTGTAATATATTTTCTAAAATGTAATATATACATTTTCATAAAAATATTTATTTTTTAAAATATTAATATAATTTAGTAATATATTTATAAGAAACATAATATTCTTGTAAAAACTATGTAAATTTGTAAAAATATGTTATAATTTTATTTTAAAGTTGTAAAATATTTTATACTTTAATAACATATTACGTACATAATATTTGTAGAAACATATAAATCTATAATTTGTAAGTTAAAATGTTATAAAGCATGTAAATTTGTAGAAACATAATATGATATATATTAGGTAGGTAAATAGTCATAAGTTTGTAGATAGATCAATTCCCCTTTTCTTAAATATAAATTTAAATATGAACAACCTTATGCATGTGCAGTATGGAATATTATCAGTTCTATCGTAGTTGGATGTATGATAGAACGTATCCAGGAATACGTGGGCTTAAACCACATTTTAAAGAAGGAGTTGTTGCATTTCTTACTTATGCGTTTTCTCAAGAATGTTGTCAAAGCGAAGGAGGGGTAAGATGCCCGTGTTTAAAGTGTGGTTGCAGAAAATATAATTAGTGACCCAAATGAAGTGAAATGACACTTGGAGAAAGATGGTTTTAGGCCAAATTATTGGGTGTGGTATTCTAATGGAGAAATACTGCCAGAGATGAATAGAGAGGCTTCAAGCAGTCAAACACATATTGGAGTTGAGATAGGCAGAGAGACATCAAGCAGTCAATCACATTTGCAAGACCATGAACAATTTAATCTCATAGATGATATGGTTGGTGATGCATTAGGGGTGAATGTGACTTATGATGAACCTCAAAATTTTGATGCAGATGAGCTCCCGAACGAGGAAGCGCAAAAGTTTTATCAACTGTTGAAAGAAATAAATATACCACTGTTTGAGGGGTCTTCTGACTCCATGTTATCCATGTGTGTGAGACTCTTGGCCGCAAAGTCAAATTGGAATGTTCCTGATCAGTGTTTAGAATTATTTGCAAAAATGATGTTAGATG